TTCCAAGTTGAATTGCTCCTTACAAATCCAATTACACGATAGCAAGCCTCTTTGGACTCTGACGATGTCTCTTTGCTATTTTTGAGGGCGAAAAGGCTTTAAAAAGTAATCAAAGAGGCTTCTTATAGAAGTTAAGAACATTTGGCTCGGCTGAGACGATTATGAAGTGTTTTATGCCTTTCATTTCGTTCTTTGAAATCTTTTTTCCAAGATTCTTTTAGTTTTTTTTCGTTTGTTTTAAAGAAATTTCATCATTTATATATTTGATGTTTTACGACGATATTTACGTATCAATACCTAATTATTTTACTTTAGAGATTTGGAGGGGAATAAATAAGTTATGATTTATAAACCTTTAAAAAAGATTGAGATATTGAAAAAAAAATATATCGTTCAGACATCCAATTTCTCTGTGTTACATTTTAATTGCATTTCAAATGCTATCTCAAACCAAACTCATTTTCCAAATGCTTTTTAAATTCAGCACCGCAAACCGCGGCTGGGGAGGTAATGTAGGAGAAAAAAAGAAAATGCAAATAAAAGAGCCCAGGAAATTGCCGTTGTGTAATTATTTCGAGAGCTAATGTGCCGGTTGTTTATTCCCTGACTAATTAAGAGAAGGAAGACTTTTTAAAAATACTTTAACAGAGCCTTTGAGTGAATCAAACATTCATGAGATACAGTGATGGACGGCTAGGTGACTATAATGGGTTTCTTTCTTATTTAATTTCAGATAATGGACTTTTTATTTTATATAATTGGAAGTTCTTGTAGCAAATGCCTTAGGATGAAAATGGCGTACCACAGGGAGCTAGAATGGGTTCAAAACCTATGAAACATTTAAAATAAGGTTTTATAAACAGTTTAAAATTAACTAATTCTATGTAATTTAGTATATAACAGTCTTAATTGCATTATATTGTAGGCGATAATATATTTCGTATTTAATCATACGAATAGGGTACGGGCAAGTACGTAGGTACACTATACAATGAATAATTTTACCTCTCAATTAATAGCTTAAACTAACACTAACTCCTAATTACACTAAATGCAGGTAAGGCAAAACTTTTGGCCCCAATTATAGACAAATTCACCCGAGTTCGTGAGGTGACAAATCGCGAAGTGGTCCCCGACGTTGACTAATCACCCGTTTAATTTAGCTAGCGTAATTATAAATAAAATTTTAACGATAAATTCAGTTGGGCGTACATTAATCAAGAAGTTTGGAAGCCCGGACACTGATTAAAATGCCGTTCGAGCAACTATTTGCTAAGTTGATATCGTTAATAATTTATACGTTGAGGGTTCGAGGGTGGATCAGGTGTGATACGCGGTTTAATTTAGTTCAAGTTGCGGCTAGGTGCATTCTGTCAAAGGCTGTAACACGAAGTGTGTAAGAGGGAAGATTGGGGATTTTATTTACTAGCTTGTGGGTGAGGCTGTTTAACACTGCCATCATTGACAAGCTTGGAAGCTAAAGAATCTTTAACAAAGACTTTTTAAATGTAATTGCAAATAGTTATAAGTTTTATAATAACCTAGCTGTACCTGCCACCCCTCGCTGTGGCACAAAACTGACACGAAAAATAGATAAAACAATGATGATTGTATTTCGTGTAAAAATTTGAGTTCAATCGATGCAGAACTTTTTGAGTTTTTGAAGAGTTTACAAACCATCTTAGTATTTATATATATGTTAGATGAAGCAGACGAACAAATAGGTCACCTGATGGAAAGTGACCATCCCCGGTCATTATTTCTTTTTTATATATCTACTTACGAGTATATATGGCGTGCAATGGGAGAGGCCTATGTCCAGCAGTGGACTGCGATAGGCTGAAAATGATATATGGATTATTTGACTGATATAGGTTATCGTATATTTTCTTGCTTTTATTTGATTCCTAAGTTAAAGTTAAATTGCAAACTTTAATTTTTAATGCGAAAATTGAACGAAACCATTTTAAATTTTCATTTAAAATTTTATATGAAAATTTATTCATCACTATCTGCAGACCACCCTATAGCAGAAACATGTGCCCAATAACTAACCCAACCCTTCTGCTGCATCCCTTTTCCCCTTATTGTAAATGATGTTGTTTTCTCTCTCGCACCCACTGTCAAAGCCATGAAAACGGCGAATCTATGCGTCTGAATCTCAGACTATGGAACCCCCACCCTTATCTTAAATGAACTGGGGAGAGCAGTAGGTACTAGTGAGGACCGATGTCTTTTTAACTGTAAGGGAAGCTTTCCTCTATGTACCCGGGAAAAAACATTGAGTTCATGAGTGTGTGTAATCTGGTTTGTTTGGATTACAAATAAGAATTGTTATTTTTAACAAGAATACATAGCAAAAAACATATGAAATATGAAAAAAAACTTCCATTCCGGAAAGTGAATGGAAAAACAAATGTGTTGGATTTAAAACGGTACATGCAATTCTTAGTTATCTCCTATAAAAGCATTTACAATAGTGAGTGTACTTAACTGTAGGTAGTACGTAATATAAACTTATGTCCAAATCTATTGTCTATTTATCTATACGCATAGCCATCCAACGAGGTTTCTTAAAAGGGGGGGGGGAGGTTAGTTAGGATGTATGTATGTTTTCTCCTTTTAACTTGAAAAAAAACGCCGAAGTGTGCTTTTTAAAAAATAGAAGAAAACTGTAGAACAGCAGACAACTTCGTCTGGTCTGAATAGACTTGTGTAATATTTTCGATTTTATTACTAGACGACAGTTTTACATATAAATAATCTTATTTAAATAAGTTAAAGTCGTAAAGTTGGTTAAAATAATAACAAACATACAGACAGTATGTGTATACAATTAACGGGATCGTAACAACACACCACAATACAGACACAAATTAACCCAAATCCAGAATGATGAGTATTCCTCAACTTCCGCACTTACTCGACATAATTTAAAGTGGTTCTGTCAAAACATCTTAACAGCCCTTCGCATAATTAATGTAGGACAAGATGAGTCGCTCTTGTTTTATAATAATCGCATAATACTGTGGTTACATTATCATGCGATTGTATTACAGTGACACACGGGTACATAGGATTGACAATAACACAAGTTAATACCAACTTTTACATTTTCACGTCCTTTGATGTATTTTTTTTTTTATAATATTTGGATATCTAACACAAAACGCCATCTAGTTTCAATCTAAGCAGACCTTGTACTATGAAAGCTAGATTGACTGATTAAATACTTATATACTTTTTTTTTGTAACTACATACATATTATACATAGGAAACACCCAAACGCCGAAACAAATATTTGTAGATTATACAAACATTTAGTCCGACCCGGAAATCGAACCCGAGACCTCAGCACGGCAATATCATACACTACCACTGCGCCACCGAGGTAGTCCTAATATACAAATTACCTATTAACGGGCATTAACGCAGTCAATAGGTAAGTATTACATAAATTTGAATTGCTTGAATATTTGACCAAGTGGCAGAGGTATTTATTATTGCTAGCGTTAATTCTCGAATAATATATTAAACTTCAAATGTTATTTTTATTGAATATAGTGGTCACAAATAAAATTTCGTTAATCTAAATTAATGGCACGTGTAAAATAAAGTAAATAAAGTCATATCTAGTACAGGATAATTTGCTTTACTGTGTTAATTGTGGCCGATATGCTTTAGTAATAATCCGGTGGATTAACAAGCGTTAAGCTTGTGGTATTATTCTTTTTTAGTTTTTGTTTTCTTTGCTTCTTGAATTTCTTAATTGTAATAAGAGATTACTTAAATAATATAAGAAGGTATTACGGTTATTACTTTTGATGAAGGAGATTTTTTTTGTATGATATCATAGTGATTATATTAAATAAATGTAAATCTGCATCTTAAATATTAAACTCAAAAATCTTTTTTTTCCTCAAGTCTGTCGTTCGTTGCTCGCATTTAGTTGGACGTCTGCACGAGCCGTATATTCGTATTTTGGTCCCTTCATGAATGTAAGATGTTGCGGTATGTCTGCCGGTGTCTCTAACATTTTACTCCGCGGATAAGATTCCCGAGTTCACCCACAAGTGCTATACCGATTTCAGTTGACCGTTCTCACTTCTGCATTGAATTGTTATGTAAACAATACTGTTAAATATTTACCACTTTGTTAAACTAAAGCATTTTATACATTGTCTGTGTTTTGGTAGACTGCTTTCAGACTTTGTATATTTTATCCAATCTGCTTAGACATTTGTTTTAAACTTTCTATTGTTTAGGTTTTAAGAGGCTAAAACTCTATCTCTCTCCCTTTCTATACTACTAACAAATATTTGAAATAAGTAGGTACTATTTGAAGTTATATTGGAAATCTGGGCTCTCTTTAGTAATTAATGCAAATAAAGTACGTACTGAAGTGAATAATAAAATTGGTTTTGAAGATTTTAGAAGTGAATAATAAAAATAGTTTTGAAAAACTTATTGGGAGTACAACTTATTAAGTATTATTAAGTAAATTGTTTAACTTCACACACAAGCACTTCACGAAGGACTTGCCATTGCCTATAATGTTTTTAGGCACCCCGTATTACCCTAGGCCAGACATCCTTTAATGATCGGGCATTTTATGAGAACAATAACAAAAAATGGCGACGTAGTGAGTACCCACCTCCTCTTTTGTTTTCATGTCGGTTAATAAACTAGAAAAATAATGTCATTCACATGACTGAGTTAAAACAAAGTCAATTCTAAATTTTAAACGATCGTATATCAACTACCGCATTAGGAATATATCCTGTGTCGCGAGGGACTTTACAAACATACGGAACACAAAGAACACCCAGAATCAGAATAACGATTTGTCATCACACAAAATGTTGTCCCATGTGGGGATCGAACCTAAAACAGTCAGTGCAGTAGGAAGCAGTGAGGTGACCGCTTAAACCACTACGATGTCCGTGCAGTCGAGTTATTATAAGTGTTTTAATCAAGTTCTAAACATAATGAAACTCACCAGTATGTATGTAGGTATGTTTCTTCATGTCAGACTTTTGGTGAAACCTTTTCCCGCAGTACTGGCACGGATAGGGCCTGGTGTCGGAGTGGATGAGCAGGTGTGTGGACAAGGTGCTGGACCGCTTGAAGGTCTTCCCACATTGCTTGCATTCGAAAACTTTCTCTACGCTGTGAACGGCCCTGGTTTCAAAGGAAACTTGTTTGAAGCTACATCTAGACTCATAACTTAGCATTTAGAACACCTAAAACCTACTTGGGTACTTAATAACAGTTAGCTACATGTACTAAAACTACTAAATTAATTTATTATTATTAGTGTAACGCTTAAGGTCTGATCTCGAAATACTCGTATATTTTCAAACGTACTTAAAGAACTGTGAGGTTTGAATATTCTAACAAATTTGTTGAATATTCTAATCCATCGTCAAGAACATTTGAAAAATTATTAAAATTCATAAATCATTTATTATTATATGCCATTGAGTTGACAACGAATCATCTTTTATTGTCCCTATATTGTAATTCATACAAAATAAAACAGACACATGTTTTGTTGTTCTAAACTTCACATTGATCCAAACATGTATGGGCCTGCCAAGCTAAAATGTATTTTCTTCAAACGAGCTTTATAACTATTGAAGTAAACTAATAGTCATGAATACAATGTTGTTTAGTTTAAGGAAAAAATGATGAACAACATACAGCGAACGAAGTGTGAAAGGTGATTTTGAAGAGTTCCTATAGCAGTTATAAGACGAAATTATATACATGCAATATGTTTTCCACCAAAATTCTCTTTCTCTTTTTTCTTTTTTTAAAAGACAACTCCCGCATTAGGAATATATCCTATGTCGCGGGGGACTTTACAAACATACATGAAACGGACACAAAGAACACCCAGACTCAGAACAACAATTTGTGGATCACACAAAGTGTCGTCCCATGTGGGGTTTGAACCCACAACACCCGGCTCAGTAGGACGCGGCGTGGCGACCGCTTAAACCACTACGTCATCCGTGCAGTCAAAGATGCAAAGTTATAGAATTTCTAGATTTATCAGACGATGTTAATATGATATAACATATTAAATACAGTAGTATAGATAGTTCAACTCAACTCAGTGGCAGTGACGCGGCAGTCGTCATCCGAGCAAGACGAATACCACACGAATGAAAGTTGTATATTTACAAGCCCACGCACACATAGGACCACGCGCACAACTGAGTTAAACTATCTATAGCAATGTGACTACAGTAGTTACTTCTTACCTGTGCTGACTAAGGCTAATCTCATGTCCAAAAGTTTTGCTGCACATTTCACATGCAAATGGCCGCTTTCCATTGTGAGATCTTCTTGCGTGAACTTCTAGTCCATGAGGGGTACTAAACATCTTCTCACACTTTACACAAGAGTACACATCCCCTATGGGCCTGGAAAGAGGCCCTGGGGCACCTAAGACTGCTGCTCGGAGTCTCAACAGTTCAGGACCAGCAGCTTGCACTGCATGCAGATAAAGATTACTGTAGCCTGGCCATCCTGGAAGTCCTAAGCTACCAGCGTCTCTCAGAAACTCCGCGAAAGGCAATGGTGGGTACAAAAAAGGTCTTTGTGGCTGAACTCTTGGGGCATCAGGCCTTAGTAGAGCACTAACGGAGAAAGCTTCTGATCTTTTGGGAGGGGGAGAAGAGTCTGGTGGTCTTCTTGGGGACGATGGAGGCGAATCGACTTCGAGCTCAGGGGATGTGGAACGGACAGATCTTGGAGATTGGGGGGATGGTGCCCAACAGGGACTACCGCAACGAGATGCAGGCGAAATGCCTTCAGGTCTTGGCTCTTGGTGGGTTTCTTCTTCTTCATCTTCTGTTCTTTCACTTACTAAACGGTTGATGCCGAATTTGATTTCTTCTGTAAAGAAAATATATTTTTAGTAAACTGAGTTTTATAGATTTATTATTTGAAGAAGAAATGTCTGTTCCGAAGTTTTAAAACCGGTTAAAATCACCAGATTTTTACCGGTTTTAAAACTTTGGTGCTTGAATTATCAAGTCCAATACAAATAGTCATATCCTATTGTTCTCTAAGAATAGAATTGTTTACAGAATTGTTGATAGTAAATATTAGTACTTAGACAAATATTTTTTTTTATATTACCCAAACATCTTACAGTCATCTATATACATTGTGGAAACTAAAGTAAATTTAGAACTTTTGACTTGGAAAATGGAGTCTCGTTAGGTTAAAAAACTAAGATAAAAGTATAAATACTTAAAAATTTTATCACCATTTATATCGCCTGTTTTATCTTTCTCTTTATATCAACTGGATTTTAAAGTAAAAGTGTCATTTATAAGCCTTATCAGATCTTGTGAAGCTAAAAGCATTGCGGTATGCAGATTTTTATATCGATAGGAAATTTTTTTAAGGATATCTCCTTGAGTTTAATAATAAGCCCTTTTATTCTGAATTAACTAAATACATTATTAAACAGTTCATAAGATTAGTCTATAAAATATCTCGCAATTCAGAGTGCCTCTTGGCATAGGCCTCCTCTAGCACTTTCCATTGGGTTCTGTCTTGCGCTAACCTTCTCCAGTGGTGTCCAGCTGTTAGCCTCAGGTCATCTGCCCATCTCGCTTGTTGGCGTCCACTATTACGTTTGCCATCTCTGGGGTACCAGTCACAGATAGTCGTACTCCATTTGCCATGCCTGTCTCTAATTATGTGTCCGGCCCATCTCCACTTCATCTGGTCTATTCGAGTGAGAATGTCAGTAACTTTAGTTTTTTCTCTTATTTCACTACTTCTTATTTTGTCCATCCTCCTTGTTCCTGTCATGCTTCTCTCCATGGCCCTTTGACAACGTTCCAGTTTAGCTCTGTGGAGTTTGGTGAGTGCCCATGTTTCACAGCCATAGGTAATGACTGGAAGTATGCAGGTGTTGAAAGCCTTTCTTTTAGTAGACATGTTTAGCTCGTTTGACTTCATAATTTCTTTCAGCGACCAGTACTTTTTCATTTGCTATTCTTCTATTTATTTCTTTAGTTGTTTGTTCTTCGTGAGAGATTTTTTGTCCTAGGTAGATATATTCCTGTACATATTCTAGTGGTTGGTTGTCCAATTCTATAGGTGTTACTTTAGAGTTTGTGAGCAATTTTGTTTTACTCATGTTCATGGAGAGGCCCACCTTCCTACTCTCCTCATTAAGTGATTTTATCATTTCTTGGAGGTGCATCGGATCCTCTTCAAACAGGATTATATCGTCCGCAAATCTAAGGTGGTTTAGTTTAACACCGTGTATGTATAGGCCGAAGCCATCCCAGTTCAATTTGCGGAAGATACTTTCTAAAACCGCTGAGAAGAGTTTCGGTGACAGCGAGTCTCCCTGCCTTAGGCCCCTCATGATCTTGAACTTTTTACCTAGGGTTTCTAGTTGTAATCTAGCTTCGGTGTTTGAGTAAATGTTCTTGATGATTTGAATGTACTTTGGCGAGACCCCTTGTTGTTCCAGGCTCTCCCATATTGCTTTGTGATAAACACTGTCGAAAGCTTTAGAGTAGTCGATGAATGCCATGTATAGGTGTTTATTATATTCGTTGTATTTCTCTACTATTTGTTTCACCGTGTGTATATGGTCCAGGGTCGAAAAGTTTCGTCTGAAACCGGCTTGTTCTCGTGGTTGGTTTTCATCAAGCGTTTTGCTTATTCTTTGCAGGATGACTTTGGAGAATACCTTATATATGTTTGACAGCAGACTTATGGGTCTATAGTTCTCTATATCTTCTTTTTGACCTTTCTTGAATATAAGGATGATATGGGATGTTTTCCACTGCATAGGTATTTTTCCCGTGTCCATTATTTCGTTAAATATTGTTGTCAGTATGGGCAATAGTTCTTCAAGAGTGCCTTTAAGGAGTTCGTTCATAATTTTGTCTGGCCCTGGAGCTTTCTCCATCTACTGACTATAAATAGCTTTTTCTATTTCGCTAGGTAGTATTTTTGGGAGAATTTCGTTGCTGAGGTGGCTTCCACTTTGCTCGTCCCATCGATACAGTTCATTTTCTGGGTTGGAGTACAAATCCTGGTAGAACCTTGTGGCTGTTTCGTTTATGTCCTTTCTGCTTGTAGATACAGTCTTTTTTTTGTTAAGTTTTGGTATCCATTCTCTTCTCACCTCTCTCAGTTCCCTTAGTGCCTTCTTTATCCCTCCTGTTCTTTGTATGTGTTTTTCTAGTGTTTGTAGTCTCTTATTTTTTAAATCTTTTCTGATGTTTTTTCTAATTTCTTTACTCAAAGCGGTAATTACTTTTAGATTTTCTTTCCTCGGATGATTTGCTAGCAGGTTTTTTCTTTTCTCTATAAGTTGGAGTGTAGAGTCGGTTAGTTTGTATTTGTTTTCCCTTTTGTGCCCAGTTTTAACCAAAGTCAGTTGTTTAACCAGCTTTCCATATTTTATAAGAACATCGGTGTTCCCTTCCGTCCTTGTAATTTCTTCTTTTTTTTCGCTTAGGGACTTGGCAATTGCTTTTACATTGGTGTCACAATTTTGGTCTGTTTTTTGTCCAGCTATGTACTTCCTATCAGCTTTTGGTGGTTCTATCTTTAGGGAACTTCTGACCATGCGGTGGTTCGTGTGAAAGTTGAATTTTGAGAGTACCGACGTATCCGTAAAGGCTTTCGAATTATCAAGTCCAATACAAATAGTCATATCCTATTGTTCTCTAAGAATAGAATTGTTTACAGAATTGTTGATAGTAAATATTAGTACTTAGACAAATATATTTTTTTAAATTACCCAAACATCTTACAGTCATCTATATACATTGTGGAAACTAAAGTAAATTTAGAACTTTTGACTTGGAAAATGGAGTCTCGTTAGGTTAAAAAACTAAGATAAAAGTATAAATACTTAAAAATTTTATCAATATTTATATCGCCTGTTTTATCTTTCTCTTTATATCAACTGGATTTTAAAGTAAAAGTGTCATTTATAAGCCTTATCAGATCTTGTGAAGCTAAAAGCATTGTGGTATGCAGATTTTTATATCGATAGGAAATTTTTTTAAGGATATCTCCTTGAGTTTATTCACCATTTAATAAAGTGCGCACTATGAATGTAAATATAGAATACTTTGATATCACGTAAGTGGTATTAAGTATTGAAAATAAAACTTAAAAAATGACGAAACGACGAAAGATCAAAGGTACATCTGTGAATTTTGTTTATTTAACCTAAATTTTGCTATGCCTTTTTTTTATTTAGTTTGTGTCGCTTTCTTAGAGTAGGTAAACGCAGTATAACTTGGTGAGATCAGTAGCTTTATATCGTGACACATCTTTCAGGTCAACGTGTTGAAAAATCTATCAGTTGAATTAAATGAGCTGATTTAGCTCATTTAATTCAACTGATCGATTTTTCAACCGTTGGTTTCTTTTATCCTAAACCTCTTGCTTCTCGAAAGTGCTTTACTTGACTGCCTCGATGGTTCAGTGGAATCGTATGCGACTGCTGTGCTGAGGTCGCGGGTTCGATTCCCGGGTCGGACCAAATGCTTGTATCTTCAACAACCTCTAATGGTCCACTGTTGGACACATGCCTATCCTTAGAATGGAGGTTTTGGCCTACTATACCACGGTAAATATTTGTATGATCTTCAAATATTTGTTTCGAAGTTTGGGTGTTTTCTATGTAAAATATGTAGGTATGTATTTACAAAAAAATAGTATTTAAGTATTCTATCAGTCAATCTAGCTTTCACAGTACAAGCTCTGCTTAGTTTGAAACTAGGTGGCGTTCTGTGTCAGATTTCCGAAATATTGAATTTAATTTAAAGTTCAAGTATTTTTGTGAAAATCCACTCTTTTTTATATAAACACAAATTCGTTTTATCGTACTTGGATTAAAATAAAACATTCTTTAATTACTTATTACTTTTTGGCCAATAATTAATAGTAAAATTACTAAAATTCATTCAGTGTCTGAATCGTACTGATAATAAATTCAGGATCGCTCATCGCGTCCTACAAAATCCTCTCTGTCCTAACCGTACAATTGTTTAGGTCATAAAGACCCCAATGCGCAGGTGCCACACTTGTCGCTCGGACGAAATGGGCCGTATCATGTCGGTGCAGCAAATTGACTTTCATCTGTTCAACCCTCGAAGTCCAACCCCCGTAATTAACACTTCGGGTCGTTCCGACCCCAATCTTTTTTTACAATTCACTAATCCGCGGGCGCGACTAAACGCAACTATTGTCATCCAGTTTTGTTTGATGTATTGTTGCTGTTTGATTAGGGATTTGGGTTTGAATATAAATTAGGTTATTCAGCGATGTTTAATTTTATATTACCAATATTTTTTTCGGTACAATGTTTTTACCTATTATCGTCATAACAAGCTTTCAATGTGATAAGCGTTAGTCTTATGAGATGCTTCAGGGTCTATAAACACAAGTAACATAATTAGATATAGACCTGCGTAGACCGAAAAATTAAAAGAAAATATTATATTACACTTACTTTCATGTTAATGTAATTCTGTTCATAGTAATGTAATGCAGAAGAGAATTATTTATTCAAATTTAAAAATAGAAACTTTTTTATGTGACAGGTTATTATAGATAAAAAAAACCCCGAGATTATGTTTTGTTTTCCAGCTGGACAGCAGGCTTTGGTGAACATTCATCATGTACACATATGAATAAATAGATGGAGACTATAATGTCACAAATAGTTTAAACCTATATCAAATAATAACGTTCAAGTTTAATCTTGTTCAACACAAAGTTCAATAATCCATTGTTCAATTGACCTTTTAAACTCTAACCATGCTCTTTTTGTTAAATAAAAGTAATAATTACAGATGTCCCATAAAATAAACTTCATAAATCATCAACTAGCCATCAAC